ACCTGGGAAAGCAAATTGTTAGAACAAAAGTCATTCATTTTATGCGACGTAATCTGATCATACATCTTAATTATGTTCATTTACGTGGAACTCATTGAATTTAATAGAAAGTAGATATTAGTATAAAAATTGTAAAAAAATACCTAATAAATTATTGTTATACTAATGAATGCGTGTAGTATTAAAAATAAAGTCAACTAAATGTGCATAAAAAAAAAAATGATTCTAAAATTTTATTTTGATAACTTGAATGAATGTGATTTGTTTCATGTTTGCTATTAACATTCCCTTAATTTTTAATTGTTTATAGCAACACATTTGTTTAACAATATATAATTCAAAAATTCAGTAATATTTTTCAACGAACCCGAACACAAAACAAGAATAACATACGAAGTAATCAAAATTTATTGTCAAACGATGATATAAATTTTTATTACAAATTTTAATAACACCTTAAAATATCAACGCATGACGGTAGCCCAAGGCGACAGTTACTGATCCCGTAAAATATCGCATTTTCACAAAACATATACTGGAATATAGGGGAAATGTTTCTGATATCCATAATTTTCCACATATTTTTCCTAAAGTGCACTTGTAAAATATCAAATTACTCAAAAACTCTGCAAATTGCATCATGAAAAAGTAAATTAGATAATTTTTGATAAAACGCACGTTTATATTTTATCAGAGTTTTAAGCTAGAAAATATCTGGTTAGTATTATATATTTCTCAATTTTTGTATATAAGTATATATAATAAAATGTAATATTTTATATCTTAAATATTCAGAAGTTTATTTTTTGTGATACTACTATTTCTATAGAGGACTTAACACGGCCTGTTCCCCTACAAAGAAAGAAAAACAAGCGAAGGATAAAATTCTTATTTGTAAGGTAACTATAAAAGAGACTACTCATCATAAAAAAACAATTCGATATAAAGACGTTTTTGATGTCGTTTGCTTTATACGTCACGAAGTTATCAAAGAGAAAATATATTTAGTTATACAGCAGACAAATATAATAATATCAGAGCTACAAATGATTTTGCATTCATAAGTAATACATAGAGGTCAAAGATCAGAGAGCAAATACGAATGATAAAATAGTAATGGATACATATATAAATTTATTGGAATAAATTGCTCCAATGATAAATCAAGTGAACCCAACAGTTCAAATGTACGTTTAATTATTATTTATGTAGATTGGAACATAAATTGAATATGATTGCTATATTTTAATCATTTTATACTAAATTGTTATAGTTATTTTCATATTATAACTCTAAATACTTGACCTTATTAGTACATTCTATAAAAATATAATCGAGTAAGTCTCCTGAGGTTCTGTGATTTTCACGTGAAAAAATAATTTGATGAAACAGAGTATCTATATAATGGTTTGATTTAATAGAAAATAACCATTAAATTTTATATGTCGGTAATATGAAAGTGATAAAACACATATAGGCATATAAATTTATCTATAATCAGTAGATTAATCATGTCCACCTAAATCGTTATTGCAACGGTATATCAAGCTGTGTCCCTGCCGATTCATATAAGCTCCGATTACACCTGATGATCTATAGAATCTTGTTCTACACAGATTATGTAGTCGACGTGAAATTGACTGACAAAATAGGGGTATTACTATGTCCAAACTGTAATGTCAGATATGATATGCAGATTATTCAAAATATTTTGGGCAAAAAGAGCTTTGAGTAACACAAATTTCTCTTAAATTAAGTGGTAATGGTTAGTCATGCATTATCCAAATAGTTTTCGATAATTTAAAATTAGGTCGCTTTATGAAAATAAATATGTAACTATTTTGATAAGATAATAATAGAGCAGATGAATTGCGTAATGTTAGTACACAACAGATCAAATGCTTTTCTGTAAAAAATTTCAAGCCCTATAATTAAGTACAGAATAATCAAAAGATAACATGTCTCCATATAGTCATATTTATCAGCCATCATAAAATACAAATTGAAAAATATCAAAATTTAGTAAATACGAATAATTGAAACTATGTATTCATGGAATAATTTATATTTTGATAATATTTACAAAATTCCATGACTCATCTATTTGACCTTGATAGAGAATTCAGTTCAGTACAGTGAACGACGAGTAACGGATAACACATAATGTTTATATAGGTTTTCATATTTTAGATTTTAAATTTATAACACACTGATGATGAGACAAACCTAGTCTCGAAACATTTGTGAAATTAAGTTTCGAGCCATATAATTAAGTACAGAATAATCAAAAGATAACATATGTCTCCACATAGTCATTATAAAATACAAATTGAAAAATATCCAAATTTAGTAAATACTAAATACGAATAGTTGAAACTATGTATTCATGGAATAATTTATATTTTAATATTATTTACAAAATTTGTAGAAATTACTCAACTTTTCTTAAATATAATAAATATTTATTAGTAAAATAAACAAATCTAACAACTTCAATTATCTGCCTTTGATAACCACAAACAGCAAAAATATAATTACGAATATATGTTACGAATTTAGAACAATTTAGTACCAAGTCTGGTTTTAGAAAGCTAAAAGGTGGCTTTCTAAAACCAGACTTGGTTGATCACGAAAAAAAATAGTGGTGAGAGTTGGTATGATAATTTTGTTTAGTTTTTTCTATGAACAATCAGAGCTTTTTTGTATTTTTGTATTTTTGAGTAAAGTATCTATTATAGCTCCTACATTTATTAAATGCTTTCGAGATGCTTACCATGCCCGTATAATGACCAATTGCATTATTGACACGTTAATTTCATGTATTATTTAGTAGGCCAATGTGCCAATTGGGTATTTGGGTTTCACGCATGTCAATATCACAACGTGCACTAATGAACAAACACTGATTGCTCTATAAATACTTTATAGATATATTGTAATTAGTAAAATTTTGTATCGATAAACCGCATTATTTACTAATTGATGCACAGTAAAATAAATTATTATTTATGGATTAGGTAAATAATATGTGCGATTAATTTTAATTTCAAGTAATATATTATTTTCTAAACATTTTTCCATTGTCCATTCAAAATGATTTATTAAATATTATCATTATTTTGATATCTACATATTATGAAAATTTGTATCCCAAAATGAGTAAATGCAAAAGTAATTTTGAATGTAATAACCCATAAGAAATTGCAGTGTCTAATTCCGATTTTATACCGAGAACGCCAACATTTTTAGGGCTCAAGAAGATTTCATATTCTGAAATTTTTTTATGAGACAAGGAAAAATTCATCTGAATCCAACTTTAAGAATAATATTTTTTATATAAAGTCAGAAAGTTGCGCAAAGTAAACATAATATAATTCTGATAATAAGTCTACAAGAATTCTTTTTAATGATAGTAACGGTTAGTATGATTTGATTGATCGTATATTGTGAATTAAAAGTTATATTATAAAATTATTAAAAGTATATTAAAATATATATGATATCACTGCATATGAATTCCTGCAATAAATATTGAAAATTTAATAAAATATTAGAATCAAGAATTAGAAGTTTTCAACAATTTCTTTCGATTTTTGAATGAAGTACTCCAAATTCTATGAACGAGAAAAAGATATTAACAAATCTATAAAGTTTTTCTGATAATTCTAAATTTAAAATTTTAAATTCAATATAAATTGTACATAATATTATTGTACTTTTATTCTAAGTAATTATTAACACAAACTTAAATATGGATATATAATTAATACTAAAGTAAATAAAGATGAAGTAGATTAACTCGTACATCTAGTAATTAATTGTTTTATTCCTGAATTATGAATACCAATTTTGAAAGCAATTCAGTAGATATATTTACGATAAGAAATTTATGCTATTTCAGGAAAAATCTAAGAAAGTAAAAGAATAGTTTGTTAAAAATTTGAGGACAATCTATAATATACGAGTAACTCATTGTTAGTTACAAATTGTATATAAAAATAAAATAATACCAATCATCAATACCAAACCAATTGTATTTTTTTCTATTGCATTGGAATGATTGAAACGGTGATCAAAGTATATCAGATAGTCAAAGCATACTAAATGTGATTTAAAATTCATATCGCACATTACATAGTATATGCTAGTTAGTGTTTGATTTTTTTCACAATTGCCTATGATTTGATTTCTGAGATAATAGATTTTTGAGAATTTTAAACTTTGATTTATTTATACTTTGAAATATTTTGGAAATTTTGAAACGCGTAAGCGCCGCGTCGCAGACTAACGGATTAGCATTGGTACGGAACTCATAAAAATGTTAACAAAATTTGTTCTGATTATTAAAATATCTGATAATTTGATGTGTATATATCTAATGTTAATTTTTGTCCGCCAAATAGCTTTTTTTTTCTAAGAAACCGCTAGACCTGCTTTCTCAAAAAAATCCTCAGTTATTTATTTGGCCAATAAAAATAAAATGTTTTTTGAATCATTCAAATCACACGCACCGTTCTCTCAAAAATTGAATTACCAACTTTTTGCTCCGTTTCTGAAACGATCTGACCTACTTTTGATAAAAACTGATCAGCATCTCAGAGTCTTGTTATCAATAGGAATCAAATGTTTTTGGAATCATTCAAATCGGCCGATCCGTGTTGTTAAAATCGTTGACACAATATTGTATTCGCACATACGTACATACACATGCACACACATACACATACACACTCACTCGTACATCCATTTTTTTAAGGTATTCCAAAATGTTCAGAAAGCTTTGAAATGTAAAGATATATAAACATTTTCATTTTCGATTTTTTGTGATTACTTTAACTTACCCTAGGGGAAGTTAATTATAAAGACTTCTTGAATGAAATTATCTTTCAGTTTGTAATTTCAAGTAAATATAATACGTGCAACATTTTAGATTTTTGAGCACAAGATAAAAACATAAGGTGACTAATTTAATTTTTGTATATATTATATTTTACACTTACCTATCTATAGATATAGCCATGAGTGTCAGTACCGAAGCCAAAATGCTCAGGACCGCAACAAATTGCGTGATCTTGCAGTAGAGCGACCCGAACGGCCAGTTCCCTGTCAGCATGTACGTGTAGTTGAACGTCACATTCAGAGTCGAAACTATTGTGTCAGCGATGGAGAGATTCACTGAAATGATAAATTATTTTAATTGATATCTATCATCTGAACGATACATATGCAATACACATAATTTAATGCATGGCTTTATGAACAATTTTGTTGTTAGTTATATACAATATTTATAAAATAATATAAGAGCTTTTATATATAAATTTTGGTATACTATAAAACTAATAATTGTAGTAAATGCATTTGTTTGATAAATATTTTGATATTATCAATCGCAAATTATTAGATTCTTACATACAGTGATACACCGCATAACGTACGCCTCGCGCAATGGTCGATGCGCATAAAGAAACTTTTTTTCGGTCTCGAACGTTTCACACAACGAAATTTGCTTCACACAACGTACTAAATCCTCATTTGTAGTCAAAAAACATATGTTGCTCAAATTAATCCAAAGAGTAGATTTGGAAAATTTTTGCTCCACTGTGAAAATGAACTTGCTAGAAAAAACTATCAACAGTTTTTGAAAATTTAGAAGCTAAAAAAAGGAGCAGTACGCCTCTGTTAATAACTTATTTCGTAAATCAGTAATATTTTTTTAAATATTTTACCTATATGTAAAATATAACTTATTTCCTATGACCACATTTGAAACTACAGAACGAATTAAAATCAAAACCGATTTTCGATTTCGATATAAAAATAAAACAGTTTCGATATAAAATAAATTCTTAAAAGAAAGTTATGTTTTTTATTGATGCTATGCCCCGTTATTAGACTTTGTTGATACGTATGTCAACATCAAGTTTAGAAACATATATATATATATATATATATATATATATATATATATATACATAAATTAATAAAGTCGTGTCATCCAATCGCTGTGAAAATTTGGGAAAATGTTAGGTATATCCCCGGACAGGTTTTTGGATATGTTGATTGAAACCAAGTGGAAAAGGTTGGCCTCCTCGAAGAGTTTTATTTGTTGGATCATTTTTTATTCTTTTCTATTTAATTTATTCTTTATAATGCCTATATAAATATCATCGAACAACAAAAAACCTTAAATTTTCACCCTCTTACCACTGCTCTTATTTTTTTATCTCGATTTCGATTTCTCCATCAGTAAATGAATTTTTGCTATTTGATTTTTTTAAGGATTTACCTACATTTTTTAATTAAACGAACATTCAAAAGATACAATATTTAAAACTTATTTTGCCAAATGATTTCACGTGGAGTACAAGATTAAAAAAAATTCGTTGATGTTTTTAATACAGCTTAACCAACTAACATTTACTATTTTCCACTATAATAACTACATGTACAAAACGGCATTTTTGTTGAGACTTTTGAATATATGTATAACACAGCAACCCGTGATTGGTACAGCTCGTATTGGATAAATAATTAATCCAATTAATTTCTAAAATAAGTGTAATTATTGTACTACACTTCGTTAACTATTTTCGGAAATATTAAACTATTTCCCGGGATTTTATTGATCCCTTACTGCACGGTGGTAAATTATAGCTAAATTCAATAATTCGAAATATATTAAATTCCTATATTTGCTGTATAAATTCAACACAAAATGACAATATTAATTCACAAATGACATGAAACGTCGAAATAAACTGTACGTAGTGTACTCATTAAACATTGTGCAAATAATTCTGCCGTTATATGAGGGTATCTGCCGTAGCGGCATAATAATATAAATACGAGCATGTGACGTGTGTTTGAAATGCATCTGAACAAATATTGATGATGTTCAATATTTATTTAAATCAGTTTATTATCAAACAGTGGTACGTGGATGTCGGCGACTTATTCGCTTACGAATTATTTATGAGGTCGTGTGTGCCGTCTTCCAGTCGTCTTGAGAGGTCTGACCGACTAACGCGATTTGTGTCTGTGGGTGAAGGTATTGACAAATTGTATTAGAGGAAAATAAAATGAATGGATATGTAAAATATATGGGGTACATGAAATAATAAGATCTATTATATTTCACTTTAAATATTAAAAGTGTATGGCATCGTGCCTTGGGGCAAACTGCTGAAACTTTCCGTACCGTAACGAAAAGTTTGACGAATAATAAATGTTTTCAAATAGATTATTATAAATAAATACTGTAACATTGTCTAATATTTATAAGAATTATATAGACTTAATTGCAAAGTTGAAATTATTTGTTTAAAGTACATTAGAACTTTCGTTATAAATAAAATTAAAATCTGAATTATTTTAGATATGCAAATAAAAATATTGAAAAAAAATCTTAAAAAAAAACAGAAAAAAATGTTTTACAAAAGCAATTATTTTATTAAAACTAACAAAGTTTTTTGAATCATTTAAATCGGACGCTCAGTTCTCTCAAAAACTGCAATTTTTTGCACATTTAGCTTTGTATCTTCGAAATGACTAGACCTGTCTTTATCAAAAACCAATCACCTCTTCTTCCAATCATTACAAATTGAATGTTTTCAGATCATTCATTTCGGATAATCAGTTCTCTCTAAAACTCGATTTATAATTTCTGCACTCTTTGCCTCGTATCACCGCAACGGTTGGATCTTTGCCAAAAACTAATCAGCATATCTCCCTATCAATAGGAATCGAATGTTTTTTGAACTATTCAAATCGGTTGATTTGTGCGCCCAAAAACGTGGACGAAAAGTTGTATCCATCCATACATACACATACATACATATCAATTCTTCCTGAGGTATGCCAAAATGTTCAAAAACCTTTAAAACGTGAAAAAATGTAAAAATTATTTTGATTTTTGGCCCATTACAATAACTTACCCAACGGGAAGTTAAAAAAGGACTAAATACAATTTGATTCAATGATATATTAAAATTAGCGGATATAAAATACAAAAACAAAAGAAAATAATGTCACTATCGAAAACCCAAATATATTAATAGTCGCAATGCATATTTGAATCAAGATTACTAAATGGTGTAATAAAACTTGGAATTTTGTCAAAAAGAAAGACAATGAATATCATTGTAGTCATAAAAAACTTTATATTTTACAACATAATTTAGCGTTTAAGTTTTAAATAGATGATCAACGAAGTCCTTTTTAAACTTTTAAATGCTTGAAAAAAAAAGTTTTTTCCGTGTGCTAATTTCTATTTTAATGCCGTTCTAATGATAATTAGTATGATATTATTGCCATTTATTAAAAAGTAATCTAAACTTCTAATTTGTAAAAATGATTCTTAAACAACAATATGTATTCAGATAGCAGAGATGTGATTCAATCCCAAATTTCAGATAAGAGAGATTTCTGAGAAAATTTTGAAAAAAATTATAACTAGTGGGGTGTATGGCATCGTGCCTTAAGGCAAATTGCTGGAACTTCCCGTACCGTAACGAAATGTTCGAGGAATGTTGAATGTTTTCAAATAGATTTTATTATTAATATTGTAACATTGTCTAATATTTATAAGAATTATATAAACTGAATTGCAAAGTTGAAATTATTTGTTTAAAATATATTAGAACTATAGTAAAAATAAAATCTGAAATATTTTCGATATACACAAATTTTTTTTTTTAAAAAAAAGTTGAAACAAAAATTTTTTTTTTTCAAAATCAATTATTTTGTTAAGACAAGCAGAAAGTTCTTTGAATCATTTAAATCGGACGCTTAGTTCTTTCGAAAACTGCCATTTTTTTACACATTTAGCTCCGTATCTTCGAAATGGCTGAGCCTGCCAAGAACCAACAAACACTTCTGCCAATCATTACTAATTGAATGTTTTTTAGATTATTCAAATCAGATGCTCCGTTCTCTCAAAAACTCGATTTCTATTTTTTGCACACTTTGCTCTTTATCTCCGTAACCACTGGACCTGCCTTTGCCAAAATCTAATCAACTCAACTCCCTATCAATAGGAATCGAATGTTTTCTGAACCATTCAAATCGGTTGATCCGTGCGCCAGAAAACTTGACTGGAAATTTGTATCCATGCATACATAAACACACACACATACACACACATCCATTTTTTCTGAGGTACGCCAATATGTTCAGAAACCTTCAAAACGTCGAGAAATGTAATAATTTTTAATTTCAATTTTCGGCCCATTACAATAACTTACCCTACGGGAAGTTAATAAAATAATTAATGTAAACTAACATTCAGATAGTCAATATATTGGAGATAATCATGATCTTGAACACACTGATAAAAATTTAAATTCAATAAGACTATGAAAATATGAACTTTACGATCAAAGTTTGCCAAGATAATAAAGAAAACTTTTATAGCCTAGATAAGTTTTACTAAAACATAAATCCTGACATAAATGCCATTTATTATCTTACCTAGAAAATAATTGGTGACCGTCCTCATCCGCTTATGAGCGAGCACGATCCATATAACGATAAGGTTGCCTCCGGTGGCAACCACAACCATACCAGCAAACAGAATGCTCCATATAAGTTGTCGCCACCATGGTAAAACTGGTAACATCATATCTTCATAGTCACTACTATTGTACAGACTTGCATTAAAATCTGCGTAACTCATGTTGAACTCCGAAATGTTCCAAAATTCTGCTGAAGGATTCACGAATTCCATGTTTCTTGCAACTTTAGTTTCCGATATACTTTGAACTTTGAGAAACTTGTCAAGAAGTTTATAAAGTTTCTAATCAAACAGCATTTAGTCTTGTACTTTAAATAGTTAATTATTTCATAAGTTGCACAATAAAGCTCTTCAATATATTTGGACTTTTCGCACTTGATTTTATCGTGTACAATATTACTTATTAATATCTGTTTAGTTATGAATACTCTGAAAATATTACTTTTATTACTAGTCTAACACTTTACTGTTCCTATCATAATTTACTTATTTTTTAAATGTCTGAAATTTTAAACCCTGTTCAGCCGACACTATCATATTAAATTTCAGTCTATTTTACATAAAGTATTCACAAAACTCGTTTCACTAAAGTTTGATTTTTCACTATCAAATGTTGAGTTTTTTTACAATTCATTTAATAAATTCAAAGATATTACTCATTAGATGATATTTTTTCTAATATATTTGTTTATTTATTATAAATTATCAACATGCACTTGAGTCATCAAAAAAATATTTAACTCTCGTCGACCTTTAATATAAAAGCGTCCAACTATGCATTCTCAGTTATTTTTAAAACTACCATAATTAACCAAAATACATAGAAATTGTTCAATCTCAATGATGAACTAATTTTCATTGTCTGTATAGTTATCTTGTTATCAATTTTTTTTCTTCAAATATTCCTATATTTTCAAATGTTGTATGCCAATTCTACGTGTGGTAATTTGTAGTTGCGATTACAAAGCTGCTCTAGTTTTAATAACAATTTTTCATAGCATGTTACTGAGTTTATTCCTCTCTTTTACAATTCAAATAAATATTCCTTTCAGTCAAAATATTACTTTTTGTACGAAAATATATGTGCATATCTTTTCAATAAATCCACATGTTATATTCCTCCCTTGAATAGATTTCGTACTCCGTAGTCAGCCGTTCGATATTAACGTAAATTTTGAATAAAATTCTATTAAACATAACTCACATTTATTGCCTGGCATGTTTGATTTAGAATTCACATAACGTCGTGATAATTTCTCGGAGGTTCAATGTCGCGTGCTGCATAACAACAGATTGACGGGAGCTTTCCGGTGGCGAACTTCTATTGCGAGCTTTTTATGAGAGCTTTCTGTGTCAGCCGAAACGCAAACACATACGCAGCGTGCGAAGATCACTAAGCGTTCAGGAAACTGGCCGATTAATCGTGTGGAATCTTGTGGTGGAGCTTTTCTGGAACGTTATCTGCAAGGGATAAAAATAATAGTTTTAGAATTATGCTTGTGATAATTGATACGACACACACACACACACATACACATATATATATATATATATATATATATATATGTATATATTAATAATGATGATTTTCTGAAATGAATTTTTCATCTATTTATTATTTTAATTAATTTAATTAATTTTTATGAATAAAAATCTACATTTTTAACTTCCCGTAAGGCAAGTTATAGTAATCGCAAAAAAATCGAAAATGAAAATTTTTATATATCTTCACATTTCAAAGGTTTCTGAGTATTTTGGCATACCTTAGAAAAAATGATGTGTGTGCGGATACAAATTTTCGTCGACGATTTCGGGAACACCGATCAACCGATTTGAATAATTCAAAAAACATTCGATTTGCATTGATAAGGAGACGTGCTGATTAGTTTTTTCGCGAAGGTAGGCCTAGCCTTTCCGAAGATACGGGGTAAAAAATGCCAAAAATGATAACTCCGTTTTTATGAGAACGAAGCGTCCGATTTTAATAATTCAGAAAACATTTTACTTGTATTGACAAGATGAAGAATTGATCAAATTTTCATAAAGACAGGTCTAGCGGTTTCGGAGATCTAATAAACAAAAATAAAAAAATGTCATTTGGCGATCAAAAATGATCATTAGACATATGCACATCAAATTATCAGATATTTCATAGAGATTTTAACAATAAGTATAAATTTTGTTCACACTCCAATGGGTTCCGTATCAATGTTCATCCGTTAGACGGCGACGCGGCGCTTACGCGCTTTGACATTTCGTCTCTATGCAGTTAAAGCAGTACGATTGCTTTGAAAAAAAGTTCAGAATTTCCAAAATATGTCAAAATGAAGAAAACATTTTTTTTTTTTAAAAAGTAATTTTTTGTCAAATTTATAGTTACTCAAAAATCTAATTTTTTCGAAGTAAATTTTTTACAAAAATGTTAATTGTTTTCAAAAAAAAAACAATTTTTAGTACGGGAAGTTCCAGCAATTTGCCTTAAGGCACGTTGCCATGCGCCCCATTAGTTGTGATATTAAATATCCTCTTGAGTGTGAAAAGCGTTCACTTTTTATCTTTTATTTTTGTTTGATTTAGGTAGGTACTCTATTTTGACAACTTTTTACTAATTGTCTAATTCACTTTTTTACAATATTGTTTCACAGGTAAACAATGAATTCTTTTAATTGTGGAATATTTGACAAAATGTATAAATATATCATTTTGTTTGTTCATAACAGTTCCTGGAGCACCGAAACGTACCATGAACTATATTAAAAAAAAAATTAGAGTAAGAAAGGATGCTGCTTGTTCACAAACACACACAGATATATATATATATATATATATATATATATATATATATATTGTACAGTTTTGAATCTGATGTGTGAGTTTGTAACATTTTTGTTTGCCTGAAAAAATCATTATTAAGTTTCCACCTAGTGAACAAAATATAGTTGAATTCGGTTGAAATATTTTTTGGGATTTTTAAGTTCAAACGAATAAATTCATATCAAAATTCACACAATTTTCATTGGTTTTATTCTAACAATTGATGAACATAAATTCCCATAGATATATGTAGTAACAGAGCCGTTATCGGAAAATTCATAGATTTCGGCTGCTGTACTTGTTTTAAAAAAATGAGACTGAAATATATGGAGAAATATTTAAATAAAGAAGAAAAATACCATAATTTGAATTTATCTTATAATAAAATAGAAATGACAATAATCCGTAGTTTGAGGATATTGTATAATACACTAAAAACCATTACGGATGTTGTATTGATATAAGTATATCACTATTGACGTAAAAGTTAAATTTTTCACTGAAGATGTAAAATATTTTAAGAAGCATATGAATTTTAACAGTACAAGAAAATCTAATAGTAAAATTTTGCAACACGTATTTTTATCATTTACTATTACATTATTACATTTCTGACCTCTGTTATGAATAAATTTACATATCAAATTAATTAATAAAGTTATTAGTTTATTGATAAATATCATCAATTCATTTAATATTTAGGTATAAATAGATGCACAACATTATAATGACGTAAATTGTAAATAATTTAATTCAAATAAAGCCTATCTATGAACGTAAATAATGAATACACGCATAATGTTCAAAATTCTAGGAATTCTAAATTAATTATGACAAAAATAAAAGGGGAATACATTAGAAATATAAATTGATTATCTGAGTTATATAAATACAGATTTAATTAATAATTAAAATTAATATTTTTGTTTTTTTATATTTTCAGTAAAAAAATATAATTAGTTATTTTACTAATATTATTGCATTTGGTCAAGTTTTTGTTGTTTTCTGATCCTTGTTATATTTTGAAATACATAACTAATTAAAACTATTTATATTTAGCATTAGCTATCAATGACATCAAGCAATTTTTTCATTCAAATTTGGTCGATGTCATTGATATTGTTTGCTCAAAAATTATTGTTTGTGTAATTTTATGTGATTCAATATATTTCATTATTTACAAAATAAAAATAGTAAGTTCGATATAAATTGATATTCAGAAAAAAATTAATTAAAATTAGAAGATTTCTACTGGTTAAAATCTAAGTTTATATCAAAAATTTTATTTTATTATTAGCGTATAATCTTTGTTACCATTTTTCCTCATCTGTTTAGATTAATCTTTTTAAACTCATCAATCTTATGCTGTCGGCGAAAAATTTCTTCTGAATTTTTATTTTCTAAAAAGCCAACGTTGTATGAATAAGCGCGACCACGTGAGGCGATGGATATTTTGCATCTCGAAATCGCTTTTAACCAGAACATTCGTCTAAGAGCAATCTACTTTTATTTGATTTGTTGAGGAAATAACTATGATGAATGACCAGAAAATATTCTGTGATAAACGACTATGACGTAGACGAAGAATATACCATAAAGTCATGTTTGATCAAAGTGTTTTTTAGGAAAGAATTTGTTAGAGAATTTTCAGGAATGTGTGTGTATTATTAATACAATCTGCTAAGTATTATAATAATATTCTGTGATAAACGACTATGACGTAGACGAAGTACCATAAAGTCATGTTTGATCAAAGTGTTTTTTAGAAAAGAATTTGTTAGGGAATTTTCAGGAATGTGTGTGTTATATTAATACAATCTGCTAAGTATAAAGTGGCCTGAATACTGTTCATTATACAAGTACAGAACGAATTATAGTAAAGAGCGGATTCAATGTGTTGCTTCACTTATTAAATTCATATAAAAATTAAAATTAATTATGCAAGTAGCAAAGCTCGCATATCGATTTCATTAATTTCAGACTCTTTTGCCCTATAGTAGAGACTGAAATAATTATTATCATACTTTGAGTCTAATAAATATTATAAAATTATTACTAATTACAATATTATATTGGTTGCGTTGGTGTTATAGGTGGAAACCCGAACACTTGTATTTCTGTGTGGTAAATTTTTAATATTACTATTTCAGTGAGTGTGATGATTTTTTATATTATTATAAAATAGTGCAGGGTAAGTGCAATATTTACTCGAAAACTGAGCGAATTGCAATCTATAGTAAAAACCGATGTCACTCGAACTAGAGATCTCTGATGGAAATCCCATACTTCTAACCAC